TATGACACTGCCCGGGATTAGAACCCCGGCTTCGAGCACATGAAAGTATCACCTTAACCAGTTCAACTATGAGGTCATACGATACAAAACGGTGAATGGAGGTATAGCGCATGTGGTACATGCAGCCACACGGTGTGAAGTTCACACTGTGAACTACGCATTCCTTAATTCAATTAATTGTTCATAAAAACAATAAATGCCCTTCGTCGATCCTCTTGAGGGATTGTCCGATAACGACACCCGATCACGCTACCGGTTATCAAAGGAAGCTCTAGAAGGAAGCTCTAGCGCTGAGCTTCCTCTTAGAACTTCTGAGTTAGAAACCCAGAGTTAGTTGATTCCGAGTGAACATATTGAAAAGTTTGAAGTACGGATGTGTACAAGTGCGACAGAAGATCTTCTTCCGAAATTTTATCATTGCTGTAACGCAACGGGAAATGTGCATGCATTCGGGGCGAATCTACCAGGTTCAACCCTCGTACAGTAACGTTTTCTTCCTTTCTTGAAATTGTCACTTTCGGTTGTGGGGCGTAGCGACTATAATCTTCGTCTTGTCAAAAATGTCTGATTCAAACTCTGATTCCCTGATTCTCGAAAATACTCAGATTCAATGGAATCACCCGAAAAATCAGCCTCATGAGCAAGGCATATTGAGTAAGAGTATTAATCAGCCAAAAAATCAACTTTAGATTCTCGAATCAGCTCAGAGATCCACATGTCCTCGCGATGATCCTGATTTTTCGCTCCAGAGTAAAAAATCAGTGAATCAGGGGTTATTACTCACCATCTGATTTTTTCATCTGAGTAAATACTCTGACTCACCTGTTGCATCAGGATCCGCATACGGCCCCTGGTCCATGAGGTGCGTCGGGCTCAGTTCGTAGTTCCGGGCGCTTTTGCTCGCTTATGTTCATCCTCCTTTACATTGTCCTCCTGGCTCTTGTTGTGGGAGAAACGCCTGTGGAGGTCAATTTCCTAGGCATTTCCTTTCCCATACCCAAGATTGGTGATTACAAGTGCCAGCACACCTCAGTGCTAGGGACGCATAACTACACTAGCATTGAGCGTCCTGAAGGATTTCGAGGGTATTACTTCTATACTCCCCCAACACAAGTTCGTGCTCTCGTTCTCAATCTGCATCACCTCAGCGGGGACTGTGAACAGTTCCGTCGACAGAGTTGCATCGTCACTGGTGCGGACAAGAATGGTTGGTTGGTTGTGACTCCGTGCGGCCTCCCGGGGCTTTTCGGGCTCAACTCATGGAACGCTGGTACTTGCTGTCAGCCCAATCAGAAAGTAGATGACTATGCCTTCATGGAGGATATCATTGCTCGTCTCCGCCCTTCGGTCGACATCCCGGTCTATGCAGCTGGCTACAGCAACGGTGCTATGCTCGCTGAGGCGTTGATGTGTAGGAACATTGTCACGAGAGCAGTTTCAGTGAGTGGAGTGATCACGGGTGGGGAAAAGGCGCTTGAGGCATGCAGGTCGTCGTATAAACGGTCCGATAATGCACGCATGGGGCACGTGCATGGTACATCCGACTTGGCCGTTCCCTATTATCGAGGACTTACCTCATATCTGTTCGACTTTCCCTCCATCCCTGATAATATGAATACGTGGGCGGCTAATCTGGGCTGCCATGGTACTAAGCAGACATCTCACGGGCCATTCGACTTCATCGAATGGAGTGACTGTGAAAATGGTGGTAATGTCACACTGGTCCGCAATAACATTGGCCACGGAGGCCATCTTTGGTGGGAGCTAGACGATTTTAGCACTTCCAACTTTGCCATAGGCATGCTCGAAGATTGACCGCATGGTCAAGCTCCATCCGAAGAATGGCTATCATCCTCAACTTCTTTGGACCAATCTTACTATCATTTCTTTCGCGAATGATCATGCTAAACACATAGTCTTATGACATATTATAGATTTACATCGCTTTCCCTATTTCATCCGATTAGACTTGAATTTCAGAGTTCTAAACGAGGTCGTTCATGCGGTAGGTTCGGCTCTTTGGGACGGCCTTATGTGGTTCAGTGAAATTTCCGTTAATCTGCATGTATATCGTCGAGTACTACACTAGGACTCGCCTTGTTCCCCGCAAACGATTTGTAGCTGCATGGAATTCTCAGAAAAACTTAATTCGTTTCCCATAATCGACAAGAACTTGCAGTGGATAGGAGTGAGCAGTGCTAGATACTACAATGGCTAGACAATAGCACCACCAAAGACACCAAGAGACTTCAGAGATCACCGGGATTACAAATCCGTCTGAGGACGAAATGTGGCCGACTATACTTATCAGCATACGTCACAATTGACGCAATCAAAATTCCACAGATAATTAGCAACGTAGAATTGCTTCATATTATGTTCAGTACTGTCGTTCTATGAGGGCTTTCTAAAATGCATACTATGTTCTACATTGCTTCGTCTGCCTTTTTCAACTAGACTTACATTCCCATATATACAAAATGGAATCACTCGTACAGTAGAATTGGATTTCTCGGACCACCTTATATGGTTCAGCGGAGTGCGTTAATCTGCATGCACAGATACGATTCGTCTTCTTCCCCGTTTACACTCCATGGCTACATGAAGTTATCAAAAGAACCCAACCCTCTTTCCATAATCGACGAGCACTTGCAAAGGATAGGATGACGCAGTACCAGATACTACAATGGCTAGACTGGCTAGCACTACTAATAATACTACGACACCAAGAGACTGTTTCAGAGATCACCGGGATTATAGTCCCGTCTGACGACGAAGTTTGGCCGACCAGACGCATCGACATGCGTCACGATCGACACAATCAAAAATCCACAACTAATTAGCAATGTAATATTGCACTATAATATGTTCAGAACTGTCGCCCTATGAGGGCTTTTCATAATGAAAGTTGAGAACGTCACGTCAAACGGTGACAACAGATTGGTCGAGATTCTCAGGGACTGCATGATAGTCAGGCGCGTTCTTCCAATAATCGTCCTCAAAATATGTAGCCGCCGTCCAACCTGTTGACGCATCTGAAGATCACACATGCAAATTATCCTCAATCATCTGTGTCTCACCCCCTATCGTGAAGGGCGCGTTTGGGACGATTTTGCCCGCGATATCTTTGCTCGGCTCAACCCAACTGCAGTCCGAATCAATTTTGAGGTTGCCGAACTTGATCCGCATGAAACCGTTTTCGCCCCAGAAGGTACCCCAAGAGTTCCGCATGATCCAGTATCTGTGACAACGATATGGTCATAGTTGCAGATTCTGCTCAACATACTCGTCGTTCGTCCCTTCCTCGCGACCCCAACCGACAAGACCGACCTCGTGATTGATCTTTGGTTCAGCCTTGTTCTGATAGAACACCCCACCAGTGTAACTAGATCACAAGCGAAAATCGCACCCGACGGAATCACTCAGAGACTCGTCACTCGTCCATTTGCTTCGTGGCATCAACACCACAACTAACAGGACCTCTTTTCCATATCTCACGCTTGATCTGATCAGTGCCGTTCAATAGCCTCGCATAATCCGTGGCGAACCTACGCGCTACTCTATGCTAACGTAGATGATTCGAAGTAAGATCACCAGGTTCGGTAGTGTCGGGTTGGACGGCATTTACCGCCCTCAGCGCATTCCAGGCACCTAGCCTGGGCCGGGCACCACTCGCTGAAATCTTTATAGTTCTTAGCAGCGTAATTATGACAAGTATCATGCACCTGATAAATGCAACGTCCGGCTTCCAGCACCTTGGAAGGATGCTACCCACCGCTCCAAAACCGAAGAAGAAATCGTAAACGCCGATCTTCTCACCACCATAGCAGTCTCCGCCACCACGACAGTTGATGACCTATAATGAACGTGATCACGATAGGCCCCCACGGGTGGACCCACCTGCTGTGGTGAAATAGCTTTATTCGGCCAGCGAGCCCCCGCTCCGATGGACAAGCGGTCGGCAAAGGCAGAGGTCACTGAGAGAAGCCTCCATTAGGGGAGCCCGGCGGCAAGTCAAGGAGGTACCAGCGAACGCCCAACAGCCACCACAGTATTCAGGATTATGCTGGTTACGGTTGAAAGTGATGTAGTTCTTGCCGTTCACATTACGCCAATCCCAAGATTCTGCAAGCAGGACCGTGAAATAACGATCAGGCTATTGCTACACACCTGGGAGCTTCTCCCCGTCATCCGGGATTTGTTTTCCAGCGACTCGAGGAACCTAGAGGACGGGTCATGCAGTCGTCAATGAAGGGCGGCTAGCTTACACATAGATAACACTTCCCATTGTCCTCAGAACGGGCGTCGTAAGTCTGAGGTGATACTACTAATCAAACAGATGATTTCATGCTACTTTATAATAACCCGGGTCGCACTGACATGTGGGGTCCATACTGCACACCATTGAGTAGGTTGAACCTACACCAACTCATGACAGCGGACACCGCTGGAGCGAACAACCCGACATCTATTCTCGATGAGCGGGACCTTGTAGCCACCAGCGCGGTTGGAGCTGCCAGCATAATAATCCTGATCAATAATTATAACAAAGGCGCACGGCCAGGGGATGCTACATCTCCAAAAGTTTGATAGCGTACCATGTCCTGTGGTTTCGGGTCCTTAACGACTTGTTGCTCTTGCGCCTTTCCAGCTATGGGAGTAGGACCGTTTACCTGACAACGTGTTGCCTTAAATTGACCCTTCATGCGACCCTCACAGTGTTGATGGAGTCCACATATTCTTGCTTTCCTATCGGTGCCGTAGCGGGAGGGACATACCTGAGGAGCAAGATGGGTCATCATGACTATGCGAACCATGAGCTCCTCGCTACTTAGTATCAGGGTACAGTGACCAGTCCTTCCAAGCAGCCGGGCTGTTCAGAACAGCACATCACCACAAGACTAATGAACATTCACTCACTTCACCGTCGCCCAGACACATCCACTGTTCTCTATGAGGCCAGTCGGGGAGCGCTGTAACTTAGCCCAACCATGATCACCCCACGCCGAACCTACAACACAGTCACGATGAGTATGCACACAAAGCTGAGCTCACCATAAGAGAACCGGGCGACCCAGTATGGAGTACCTAAGGAAGCAGTTATATACTGTGGAAGGAGTATCGTCTACCATCAGCTTCCTGTCCCCATCCAGCGATTTCCACAGCGTGGTTAACCTCTGCATCTTGGGTTAAATAATCAAAGTCCCAGATGTGCCCAGATTGATAACTGACAGGCCAATTCTGACCTTCACACTACGTCAATACGTTGCTCACTTAGCACGAAATGTTTCATCAGCAT